AGTTTCTAAAGAAACTGTTGTGTGTGAACTGCACTGGCCAGATGGTTATGAAAGTGAACGTGTTAAACTTTGTAGACGGTTACTTCAGTCCTCAAATCAATATGTCATAGGGCTCAGGAGGGACCTACTTTAATTAACTTTCAGCAAATTGTGGAAAAATCATAATTCACAGATCAAGACTACTTTTATCTCTTGATGCAGACATTTCAAACCTTGAAGAACCTAGTCATTCCTGCTCCGATTGCAATTTTAACATTGAAACAGACGAAATGGCTTCAGAAACTGTGGACAATCTAATTGAGTTGGAGCAGTCACTTGGTACAGAGACAAAATCTGTGCTGATTTATATTGCTGACCATGCTACTCGTTAAGACGAAGAGATGGACGAAATTTTTCAACTCGGACAGACAACTTTCTACTACTTAAAGTACGGCCACTACACAAGCTCATTCGATAGAGACGGCTTGAATATCCGTTCTGATAGAGCATGTCAGTGGACCTTCTTTGCTTTTCTTTTGTTCAATATTGTTAAAGACTCTTTTTGCAGAACATCTTTCTGCAAGTTAACCATGTCTGACAGTTTTGAGATCAAAATGCAAGAGAAACACGGGCGGATTCTGGCACACATCTTTTTTTTTAAACTATTGTTACGCTTCCACTCCTCGCTCTTCAAAAGAACATGCATTGAGAATTTTGAAAATATCACAATTGAATAGACATACACTGCAATCCATTGAAGAAGGAAACTGATACTAGAAGAAATTTTGTGCAAAATGTTAAGTTTAATCATTGATGTGATCAATGTCTAAAAAAAAAAAAACCACAGCAGAAAGCAACGCAACAGTCTGATTGGAACGTTTAATCATACATTGTTCATTGTTCGATATTTCCCACCCTTATTTCACCTGGATACATGGATTATACTACAGAAAAACATAAAACTGGCTTGGTAAGTAGGCCCCTACTCATTTATAAGGCATGTACAGTAAATAGATCTAGTCATGTCTTGTTTACATTGTTTTATATGGACGTTGATTTCGATTTTTTCCCAAATTGCATAACAGTAATAGGGCTAGGTAGTAAATAAATAATTATTAAAGCTTTTTATTTTTATGTCACTTAGGACTAAATATTGTAATTACCTTTGGAAACAATGCCAAGAGACTGAATATGGGGTCGACTGGATTAAAAGACGTTAATACTTAAACGATATAGTAGGCCCCCAGTCCGAGACCCCAGCCGCACGCTGAGAAGGCCTCTAGTAAAGTACGCTATGGTTCTGCGTCACCTACTGGGCTGTCAGTGGGGGTGTCATCCAGTGGTTGGGAACTATTATCAGGTGGAGGTCAAGGCTGTGCCGCCACTGGAACGTTGACTGGTTCCGGACATGTGGGTATGCTCTCTGTCACTATGACTGTACCGTAGGTGAGGGTAACATGACCTTATTGTTGCAACGCAGCATCAGCAAGTGCTGTAAAACTCTTACTAAAACTATTCCAAAAAAAGCTCTGCTTCCTCTTCCTTCACTGGAACATAAATTTGATGAATTGATTAATTATGCGCACATTTATTGACCAACTTCACCATACACTACTACTTCCGACGTATTGACTGAGATGACTCCTCGCTCCTTCTGTCCCTATAGGAAATAACAAGGGGAAGTGATTTTGAGAGGAACCGACTATGAAATGTACGGCGTGACATAGTTTTCAGGCGCTGCGTCACCGATCTCGCGTAAATAACATGATGCGAAGAGGGGCCAGCTGACGAGTGAAATATCTCTCACTAGTCATCTCCGCTTTGTGAACGCCAGCGAACAGAGCCAGATAGAAGTTTTTCGAGTAGACAAGTACCTGGAAGAACATGGTCACATACCTCTTAGGCTCCCTCCTTATCACCTTAAGCTTAACCCTAACGAATTAATCTGGGCTGAGATGAAGAAAAAGGTTGCTTTGGCAAATATAACTTTTAAACTCCACGACGTTAAGCGACACACAAAGCAGGCCTTATCTAGTATAACCAGAGAATTTTGGAAAAAGTGTGAGGGCCATGTCAAAGCAACAGAGGAAAGATACTGGATAAATGATGGCTTAAATTTCCCTAAGCAGCCTAGTGTAGTCATTAACCTGATTGACGATACATCTGATTCTGAATAATTGGTGAATGTTTAAATGTGTCCCGTAGATCTGTCACTATCTCTCCTTTGGTTTGTCTGTCTGTCTGTGTAACCATCAATGTCGCTTCAGATAATGGTTATGAAATTTGTTCAGAACGGGCGACGCCTATGAACATCCGAGAAACTAGCAATTTGTCCAACTTTCAGCACGTGATTACTGTAAAACTTGTCTTGAATTAGTAATGATACATCGTAATTAATTAACCAGCCACAATTTCGGAAAATTGATTGCATTTCCCAGTGGATGAGATGGAAACTAAGCTCTTCCCAAAATATGAAGGTGAACAGTTGGATAGTCTTGGAGATATCCTGTGTCAAACATCGGCAATATTTTTGTTACAAGCTATAGATCTAGAGGTCATTGCTGTGACATCACCCACGTAAACTCCCTTTGGCTGTGTGCCGAAATCTTCCGAAATGCACCGAAATCTAACGAAATCCTAGTACTTAATTGCTTCCCTTGGTAAAATTGAGTTTTGCGAAATTGTGTCATAGCAGCTTTAATATTATACACTTGTTACTTGTTTCTGGGTCCATAAATATCGTCACCTTCCCGATACACTTTGGCAGGTGTTTTTTATTGTAAATCTTGTTTTATTTTTGCCATTATGTGTGGTTTGGTGCGTCATAGATCTAGTCACTGCTCAAGTTTGATTTAGCTAAACCGTGTGGTCTAGTTTGAGGTCCTGTCCCTTTTTTTTTTTTTTTTTTTTTGGTAAGTTTTTTTTTTTTTTTTTTTTTTTTTTTGGGGGGGTAATTGTTTTACGGCGCTTGCAACTGTATAAGGTCATACAAGCGCGCGGGACACATTAAACATTTTCAGTTGGAAGGAAATTTTGGATTTTGCCCGGGAGGCGACCGAAGCCTACTCTTATCGAAGTTAGACCACCAAGGGATCGTTCACGTGCGCAACTTGCACATGGGACCTCCGTGATTTTCAACGGTCTTGTCCGAGAAGGCTAGGTGTAGATCTTTCCTACCACAAAATCAGGGATGTGGCTGAAAGACAACAGTAAGAAAGAGCCATAGACAGGCTCTAGAAAGAGTCAGGGGCCCAGAGAAGGGGCATAGGAGGTGAAGGGTGGGGTGGGGCATAGGGGGAGAAGAATGGAGTCGAAAGCAGACGACAGAACATTGCTAGAGAGCAGGAAAGGAGGTGAAAGGAGACAATTTTAGAGTAAACAATTTTCCGTCGCTTCCTGGATTCGAACCCGGGACCTTTAAATGAGAGGCGAAGCTCTTCCTCTAGGCCACGAGAGCCTCTGTCTCTTTGTATTCATAAACTGCTATCTTGGGGCCTTCTGTTACGTCTTACCAGGACACTCTTTTTTCATACTCTGTTGAGCATAAATGCATTGTGTGGTACCTCTGTACAGTACTGAAATGGCACCGGGGCTCGGCTGAGGGTGCGATTTTTCAAAACTGGTCTTTTTATTTCTTTGGGGGTTTTTTTGCTGCAATACATGTTTTTTTTCTCATGTAAACAATCTGAATACCATTGTGACTTTCAAGCAAAAACGTCTTATTCGTAGCACCCGTGGGGTTCCAAGAAAGTGATTTTATAGTTAACACTTTTTCACATAAGGTTCTTAAAACATGCGTTCAATAAGCATACTGTTGCGATTTTAAAAAACAACAACAAACGGGCTTGCTTTTAAAAGCGATATTGTCCTAACTTATACACCTTTTAAAACTTGTAGAAACCAAGCATTGGGATTTTTAGTTAGTATTTGTTAAGGGATTAGGTCTGCTAGGACAATTTGGTAAGTCATTGCGCAAAAACTAAGAGACTTTATATTCGATAGATTTAGTTGAATAAATTATATTTGGTCGCTTCTAAGGACAAGCGGGCTAACCCGGATTTCGGGGTTTTCTAGAAATCTTGACCTACACCAAAAAGTGGGCATTGTCCTACCTATAGGAGAAGTTTCGTTTCGTTGGTTTGTATGTTTGCTTGGTTTTAGAGAAAACTCTCCTTGTCTCTTAAAGAAACTGAACACTTTACTTTCAATTTTCTCACAATAGAAAAACATTTTTTGGAATAGCCCCCTTGTGCTAAAAAGCGACCATTTGTCAATAAGTTGCACCACAAATTTTTTACCGCACTATAGTGTGTGTAATGTGCAAAATGGACACAGAAGCATTGATTCATGTGGTTGAAAAAAGAAAATACCTAATGACAAGGGTGGTGAAAACTGCAGATTCATACATTTGATGATAAATGCTGAGTGGACAAACGTTGGTTTCCTTGTATTTCGTCAAGTAGGTAATAGTGCTGTCCACACATTTCGTCTTTGATTTATTCTATGCACCCAATATCGACATCGGGCTTAGAACCGTTTTTGCAACCATGATAACACCAGCCATTGGAAATTACAATATTCGTCCATTGATCTAGAGTGTGGTGTTGAGGAAAATGTGCCAACTTTTTTATATTGTGGTGATTTGGGAAGCACAAACAATTTCAATATATCTGCTTGACCAAAAACAAAATTGACAAAGACCAGACACGTTTCAGTGAACGTTATTGTTTATTCTGGAAAACGTCGTAAAGAAACAAAAGTACCAGCTGCTCAGGCAAAGGAAAAAGGTTCTTATTTTAGATGAACAAAAGTAGAGCCTAATTGAATGATCGATTATGGAAAGGAGTGCCTTGAGCACTGCATGACACTTTGTATTGCTCAGAACTCCTTTGATTAAGTTTTGTATCACTTTGGATTATGTTATTTCACGGACAGAATGGCTCTCCGGCCTCCTGCCCCTCCACCCCCCCCCCCCCCCCCCGGCCGAATCAGGATTCAATACCAATCACGTGATGGTGACTTCACTCAACGTAGCAGATGGAAAAGTTGGCCTGGCAGCCACCTCTCGCCCAGACGTATGGTCCGGTGAAGCCGTAGTTGACACCAGCCACGCAAGGAGGTTTATCTCTGCTCTTCACCTCCATGGAAGAGACGTAGCAGGCTCCGGGCACTTTCTCAGAGAGGTAGGCGTAATTGTCGCTCTTCAGGCTCTTGGTCACACACGTGGCTGGAGAGGGGAAGGGGGAAGAGAAAGAAAATACAAGCGTATGGCTTTAACGCCTAGGTCAACACTATTAGGTTATATAAGAGGCAGGACCTCCAATTCTAACGTCCGTCTCCGATATGACCGAGCTGAATGGCGTGAGAGCCTTGAAAGCTCAACAAAACGACCCAAGTTCACTAAACGCTAGGTCAGGGATGCGAAACTTGGCCACCCATTACATAGTCCAACCTGATTCTAACTGAGCTAACAGAGGTGGAAAGGGGGAGGGAGGGGAGGTGTAAAGAAGTCGGCTGCGCCAGAGAACAGCAACTGCTGGCGTCCTCGTTGCAAGGAAATAGCGACCGGGGAACAGCGAGTAAAATTTTCCTATAATTAGTTTTTGTGGCAGTTTCGCTTACAGTATCGAATACGTTACATTTCGTCCTGATTTTCAATAATCTAAACTCAGTTGAGGTTTTTTTTGTGTGTTGGGGGGGGGGGGGGTTACAGCGCTCGCAATTGCAAAGTCATATGACCGCCAAGGGGTGGGTGTCAACAGAGAAGTTCAAACGGGGAATCAGGCTTACTCTGCTCACCTCTCTAGTCTCAACAGCACAACGTCTGCTCCAACTATCAAGGCACCCCGGATATAACAGGTCACAAGAGAATGACAAACATACACAAAAGAAGTAGAGGAATATGACGATAGTAAGGATGAGGAAAGAAAAAGGAGCAGTTCCCCCTATGTTGCTCCGCACAGTATGAACATGAAAATTCTACTGTGCATAAGAAAATATTAATGTCCTCTCTTTGGGAATGGCCTAAAGACAGCTTCAGCCTATAGCACAGTCCTGATTGGGGAGGGGGGGGTTGAAAGGTTTGATAGAAATCAACAATTCACACACAGGGACAAAAGCTGACTTGTTTGGCAGGGTAATTAAATTGAGACGAAGAATCGAACGAAGATGATCCCACACACGCAGAACACCAGCATGAAAATTGTGCTGTTTACAGTGTATTCAACTAAAATCGAATAGGGTGCGACAAGAATGGCATTTAACTTTGATTTTTTTAAAAGAAGATTTAAGAATAAAACTGTTTTTACTATCAGCAGCTGCTAGAGAAAAGTTTTGTCTTGTTACCTCAATATACATTTCATAACCCACATCCGTTGGAAAAAATGATCGTCGACATGATACACTTTCTGCAAAATTAGACACGTGTCTACTCTACCTAAGGGCACGGGAGTGAAAGAAAAATAGCAAGAAGCAAAACAGACACTTCCAAGAAATAAAAAACGAAACAGACGTAAAAATAGATAGAGCTGTCCGAAAAAAAATCAGAAGAGTTTACTAATCAGAAGATCAAGATTCAGTCAAACTTAAGCACCAACTAGAAATCAATTAAAGCAAACTTTTATCTGAAATGAACATTTTTGCCAAATATGATATTGATATGTGCATGTTATTATTTACCAGAAAGTAAACGCACACCTGAACGTATTAACCTTTAAACAAACGTGCAAAAGGATGCACTTGCTATAACAAAAGCCACAAACAAACTAACGAACTAACGAACTAACAAACTAACGAACTAACTAACTAACTAACTAACTAACTAGCTAACTAACACACAACAAATCTAGCAAACAAACAAACCTCTCAAAGCACAAATAATAAAACAATCAAGAAACAAACGTAGGTGATGGGCAGGTGCTATGGTGTAGTTTGCTCCTTCTTTACTCTCGAATATCTAACGTCCTATCTCTCCTCACACTTTTCTTTGTCAGTTACTCTTTATAGGGTGATAACTCTGATTTTTAGTACCTGTATGATCTTATTGTGTTGCAAGTGCCGTAAAACTCTTACTAAAACGTAAAACAAACAAACAAAATAACGAACGAACGAACAAATAAGCAAACAAACAAACAAAAAACGAATGAACTAACAAGCTAACTAACAAACAAACATACCCCTCAAAGCACAAATCTTCATGTAGCCGCGACAGCCATGTGCCACCCAGACCTCGTTCGTAGAGAAGCCGTAGCCTGATCCGGGCTTGCAATATCCTCCACTCTCGTCTTTGTGCACAGTCATCGACGTGATCCAAGCTGTGGGCATCACTGGCCTGCTGAAGAATTTCCAGCCCCAGCTCTCCAGCTTCAATAGAGCACAATGTGGCTCACGATCTGTAAAATACAGTGTAATTGTATGGGTTTAACGCTCCGATCATTACTATCAACACTATTATACTGTTTAAAAGGTGCCCTCCCCCCTTCCAATTTAGCGTCCATCTCCAAAGACCGAACTGACAAAATGAGTTACTTCTCGAAATCCATAAATGGGGACAGTGACCAAAAATCACAAGGGTCAAATCTGTAGATTTTCTATTGACACCATATGCTTTAAGTATGACATGCCATTTAGATCTATTATTTCCTAATGATGATTTTTCAAAAACTTCACCTATAAGCGCATTGCGTCTACTTCCGTAGGGCTCGAATCCGAAAAGTAACTCATTTTGTCAGCTCGCCTCCATGTTGGAAGCCCTAAAATCTCCACAAGACTATCAGAGTTTAAGAACACTCAGTCTAGGAATCGAACCGGGGCCATCAGTTCCGTAGTCCAGCATGAAACCAACTGAGCTAACTGAGCCCCAGTGCAGTACCTGGGAGGGGGGGGGGAGGGTAGATAGATAGATAGATAGATAGATAGATAGATAGATAGATAGATAGATAGATAGGTAGAAGCACGTTACACTTAAAGACGTCATGCAGGCCATGATTACTGAAACACGGATCGAAAGACAAACAGATGAGGAATAATACCACAATGCTTCACAAAGCGTTATAAAAATAATCGCAAATCTCATCTTTTTCAGAAATGCCACAGTCCTGGCATTGTAAGCTGAGGTGATACTGTCTAGAGTTAGTTAATTTTGAAGCACAATCGAAATTGTCTAAGACGGTCACCCCATTTCGAGGAAAAAGTGGCCGCCTTAAACAGGTGGTCGTCTTAAGTAGGTTTGGACTGATCAAAAGGAAGAATACAGGCCTTTAGTTTCTCAGGTCCCAACCAGAGGCGGTCATACATTTTGAACTACCGAAAGACCTATTAGAGTGTTACCAAAATGGTCAACTTAGGTAAACATTGGAGTGGGAGCGTTTGGATTATTCACAGGACAGGCTAACAATAATAACAAGTGAATGGATTATCAGCTTGCCACCTTGCGTAAGGGGCCGATAATTTCCAAGACGTTTGACGATGAAAGATTTGCGTGGCCTTCCTGGACTGGTTCGCTGTTGGTTGATGTGATACTGGCCGCAGCCGCGTTTGACAAGTTATCGTTGTAAGCAGTAAACTTATAAGAAGAAAAAAAGCTTTAGGGAGAAAATGGAACGTTTTGGGGTTGTTGTTGGGTGTTGTTGTTGATTTGGTTTTTGGGTTTTTTTGGGTTTTTTTTGGGGGGGTGGTGTCTATATTTGATGTCTTTACGCCCTCATCAACACAATTTAGATCATTTAGTAGATGCAGGGCTTTCGACCCTGCGTGTCATGGAAACTACAAGCTGAGAACGATACAACTCCCCATCAGAAAGACCGACATACTTGACACAATTAGTTTCTCCCATCTTAAGAATCGAACTCGAGACTCCTGCGTGCGACAGCGAAGCGCCTAACCCCTATACCATAGACCCTGGTAAATGAAAAGCCGTCGTTTATACAGGTTGTGGTCTTATAATATAGGTGCCCGTCTGGGCCCTGCCGAAATGGAATTCTGTCTAAGATGGAAACCTGTCACACCAGAATCTCCCCCACCCCTTTTCCCATTGATACATTCCTTTATAGTCATCTCTGAAAAACTGATTCCTGTCCAACCCGGAAAGGAAATAAATTCCTTCTCCTCGGAAAGATTTGGCCTGTCCAAGACGGACAATGCTTTGCATGCTCTGTCCTGATTTGAAACTTAACTCCCATGTTTGGTATCATCAACTCCAACCTTTACACCATGCCACCGAGAGAAGGGGGTGCGGCTTGGCGGTAGCTGTTATTCCACCCATGTGAGCCTTGAGCGATGCATCCGAGTGGAGATATAACCATGATCGCTTATGTCTGTTTCAGATCTGGCACTTCATGATGATGGTGAGGACAGCAGAAGAGGTAAAAGTACGTGGAGATGCTGGAGCAGCCTGGCTGCACATGATCTTTACCACAGCATGGCACACTAGAAAAGTACCTACTCGCTGGCAACATGCGATCATAGTGCCAGTATGGAACAAAAGGGACTGTGGAACGTACAGAGGAATACATTGCTTCTAAGTGAGTTACTAAGTCACGTGGGCTAAATGTGCGATAAGGTAGTGGATCAAAGAATGCGACCAAAAGTGGAAATACAATTGAATAAAGCCCAGTTCGGATTCAGGAGGGGCAGAGGATGCGCAGATGCCTTCTTTTAATTGAGACAGATGAGGGAAACAGCAATCAAACACATTAGAGAGCTAAATATAGTTTTCATGGACTAGGAAAAGACTTTCGACCTAGGGAACAAATGTCTGCTGTGGAAAGTGCTGGAGGAATATGGAGTGAAAGGCCAACTCTTTAAAAAAAAGTATCGCTATTATTAGGAGCTAGAGAAGGATGCTTGCTCTCCCTGCCTCTGTTTATTACATGTATGAACAAAGTCATCAGAGAGGTAAATACATAATAACAACACCAGCGCTAATAAAATCCAGTTCAGCTATGTCCAGATCATCTTAAATACAACCCCCCCTCCCCCACCAAAAAACGACTTGTAAGAACATCCAAATTGCCCGAAAGTAAGTGCAAAAAGTACCAGATGAAAATGAGCGTTGCCAAAACAGGAGTAGAGAAAGTCCGAAGAAACCCAGGCCGTTGAAACATCACCATTGGCGGGAATCAACTCAAACAGGTTGGGGGATTTAAATACCTGGGCAGCATAGTAGTTACACTAGGCCTAAGATTGGACAGGAAAATTGAAATGAGGACATCAAAAGCAAATGCAGTATCCTCCCGACTTTCATAACTACTCACCCACAAATTATACTTAGCAACCGACATTTTTTAAAGACAGCTTATCAACAGCATAAATTTTATTTTTCCTTTCAACACTGATTTACCAATGCCAAACGTGGCGGCTAAACGCAGCACATTAATTTTTATAAAAGGAAGATCATTGCATGTGAGATGAAATGCCTCCAAAAATAAAGCAACGTCACTAGGAAGAAGTGCAGAAGAAATAAAACTCCGAAATTAACCGGGATCAAACCGATCATGGAACACATTATAGAACTTCAAAGTATCAAGTGGATTGGCCATCTGATGAGAATGTCCCTCAAATCATCCAGCTGCACAAGCACACAACTCAAACGTCAGAATGCAAGGGCAGGGGCTGCCATGCAATACTTGGCTAGATTGCACTTCCTCTCCCCTCGACACCTAACGATACAAGAGGAAGGATAAATTAAAGCACAGTAATATATGATGATTTTATACTCACTAACACAACCATGAGTGATTGCCACAAACAGTGTAAGGCAGACAGCAACACATAGCAGTTTCATGATGGCCGTCAGTGTATTACACGTCGTTGTCTGAAGAGAAGAAAGTGAGTGAATGGCGCCAGTGACACTTGCTGGAAGCCAGGTTAACTCGTTGTAGAATGCGCAGTGTTTTATAAGCAGAATTAGTGATGCGACAAATTATACTTTTCAGCATTAAAGTTTATTGCTAGTTTAAATATCCGCCACGTATTACGGAGCAGAATAAGCCCGTGGCATGTGCAGTTGTGTATCCTGCAAAAAAAAAAAAAATTAAATGCAAACGATAAAACCAGCAAAATAATAAAATGGAGAAGAATGAGTCGAATCAGCATTCGTCGCCAGCTAAAAATTTCCGATGCCAAAAATGTTTTCCCCCAGTTTCTTATTTCATGGTGTCGGTTGCATGTGCTCGAGAAATATTTTGTAAAAATTCAAATTCTAAATGTTGGAAAAAGCAAGGAAAAATAAAGTTCCTTGCCCACAGGTAGTAAAAAAAAAAAACCGTAAGGGGCTGTTCAAATACAATCTTACACCTGGAAGGGGGGAGGGGTCTTTGGCTCCTGTAAGAAAAGTTTAAGAAAGAGGGGAGAGGGTCTTGAACCAATGTAATATTACACTTTTGTGAGGTGAAAAAATAACAAGGAAAAAAAAAGGTGGCCTTGGTCAAGAAAGGTTGCTTAGGCCACAGAGTGCAGAGGCTACAAGGGATGTGGAAAATATTTTCCAAGCATTGCAACATTGAAGAGGCACATGGCTTTACACAGGATGGAGGAAGTAATGAAGGTGACGGAAAAAGAGGAGAAAGAGCAGGAACAGGACCCAGATTTGGAAAACTTCTCAGCAAATGCTCCTGCTTTTTTTTTTTTTTATTGTTTGACAAAATGATGAACACTGCCTTGATGATAACTAATTTCACTTTTTGTTTTAAGCATAATGATCAGTAATAACAGATACAATGAAATCCTGAGACAGTCAACTTGCTTAAAGTCAACTTTTGCTTAGAGTCAATACCTAAGAGTGGTCCTGTTTCTTACCTTCTTTGTTTAGGTAATTGTATTTCTAATACAGTCAACATTTGCTGTAACTTGTTTTATTAGTAATGAAGGCGCTTTTGACATTGACATGAATCTCACACAATATTTCGCTTGAATAATTTCTGTTATTTTGTAGAGAGTGTAGAACTGGATAATATGTGCATATTGTATTCATCTTTTTCATGGAAATTATGTAAAGCGCATAGAACAATGATTGTTACACGGATTTGCGCGATACAAAAGTCATATTATAATTATTATTATTATTATTATTATTATTATTATTATTATTATTATTATTATTATTATTATTATTATTATTATTATTATTATTATTATTATTATTATTATTATTATTATTAATTATCATTATTATTATTATTATTATTATTACTATTAAATGCTCTTGGACTCGCAACCGTAAGGTCGAGGGTTCGAATCCCGTCAAGGGCCCGACGTTGTGTCCCTGGGAAAGGCACTTTACACGAATTTTCCTCACTTCACCCAGGTGGGAATGGGTACCCGGCTATAGACAGCGAAAGATCTTGTCAGTTTGTTAGTGTTTGAGCGCTTAATCGGCGCTTAATCGGCGCTTAATCGGCGCTTAATCGGCGCTTAATCGGCGCTTAATCGGCTGCTTGCACTGTATGCTTCCCGGGAAGCTGAGAATGTTTCGGAGTGTTCTATGGTCTGCTGGGGTAGTAATATAGTGTAAAGCGCATAGAGCCTGCAGTTGAGCGGGGATATGCGCTATACAAATGCTATCTATTATTATTATTATTATTATTATAAGCGAACAATGTAATATTACGGGATTTGGGGGGATGGGTGGGGGGGAAGAGGCAAATGTAAGAAAAGTGTAAGAAGGGGTTCGAGGGGGCAGAAAGTCCCCAAAATGGTGTAAGGTTTTATTTGAACAGCACCTACGTGTTCAAAGGTACGTAGCCCTAACCATGCTGTCCTTAGGCAGCAGAATTTCTTAGCTTTCTATAACCACCCGCATGGCAACGTAGTATGGTGACGGGTGCTAGCCCAGATAAAAGTCGGCATTTTGGAGACAGTTACAATGTTCTTCTTTGAAGTGCCATAAATATGTACACAGAAACTTTTCTATTACTGGATTTTTTTTAAAAGTTGTTCCCGCATCCGGTCCGCACATTGGGGATTGCCTTGTTAGTGGGACAACTTCCTGTGCCTTCAGCATAATATTGTGGTAGGGTGGCCAGTTCCTTTCCACGCCGCCTTTACTTCCCCAACTTGAAGTTACGTACCCATTACTGCTCAAAAAACCCGTGGCCGAAACGAGGCCGAACCCGGTCTTTCCGCTTCGGAGACGAGCGTACTAATCACTCTGCCACCATACCCTCAATACTGGATTACGATTTTTATTTTATTTTTTTTTAATTTATTTTTTTTGGTCGCTAGACTACAGAACTGCCATGCAAAGTTTCGTGGGCATAGAATAGATCTAGGTAAATAAATAAATGAGCTGGAATTTTTTTCACGCGGTCAGACGAAAGTGAACAAGCTATAGTACATTTTATCAACGTTAAAATAGGATCGCAAAACATTCCTAGCCAATTTTATCTCACTACAAAAACATCTTTTCACCAGATAATATATATCAATGAAAATGATTTACCTCCTTTTTGTATCAGTTTCGGAGCGCATGTACACTTCTTAAAAGAACGAAACTGTTTTTCTCTCTCCTGGGGGAAAAAAAAAGTCCAGTGCATGTGACATCTTAAGATTTGGCCGATGATATTTTGGTTTCTATCGAAATGAAATTTGGTCAATGGTATCATTACTACATGAGAGACTAGACAAGCTGTATAAAATGGTCTGCTAAAAATTTGTCAAAATGACGTACATTTCCATGAAGGAGAAAAATGAAAAGGAGATCTATGTGGTAGCCTTTTTTTCCTCGTAGGTGAAAAAAAAATTCTTTTCTTCTTTTAATATTTCAATGTTTTAATCCTGTCGTTCGATTGTTTCATAACTCCCTTCTTTTTTTTTTTACCCTACATGTGCTCTGTTTCTGCTACGTAGACAGAATTCTTAGTGTCGACTGTTCTTGTCCTGTTTGTTTCTTTCGTTTTCCTATGCTTCTGTGACAAGTCCTGTTCTTTTCTACGAAATGTGTTGCTCTTTCCATTACTTCCGTGAAAAGCCTGGGGTTTTTTTGTGGCTGTCTTGGTATTGAGAGAGAAAAACTGAGGAGAGAAATAGAATGCCGACACTGTGGTTGCCAAAAGAGAAGACCAGAAAGACGGAGAGAGAGAACGAGAATGTATTTTTTTAAAATCTAATAGAATAAACAGGAAAATACTTTACACAGATTGCAAACTTCAATCTCTTCAATGCTAATTAGATATTGTCCAGTTCCGAAACTAGGGTTCTGATACTGTAACAACAACTACTACAACTACTACTACAGCTACTACTACAACTACTACAACTACAACTACTACTACTACTACTACTACTACTACTACTACTACTACTACTACTACAGCTACTACTACTACTACTACTACTACTACTACTACTACTACTACTACTACTACTACTACTACTACTACTACTACTACTACTACTACTACTACTACTACTACTACTACTACTGCTACCACTACCACCACTACCACCACTACTACTACCACTACCACTTCCACTACTACTACTACTACTACTACTACTACTACTACTACTACTA